TTAAATGGTCTTGGCCACTGTGTCTCCCACACATCAGTTCTTGAGCACGACACTGCATTGGCCCAGCAGGAAATCCAAAGAGGCAGCAATGCACTACCATTGTGCTTAGTCAAAGGCACATTCACTACCTTGGTGTGGGACAATAACGATTTTGGGGAGGAGACACTGTCGGGTAAGGGAACCACCCATAACACCAATGGTATCGCAATTCAGCATTCAGAACCACAGACTTTCACAACTGAGCCAAAGCAGTCTATGACGAGGACAAGGAAACGCTCATTGCCAGCACCAGATGTAGATTTAGTAGCATTTCGTGGTGCTAAAAAATCGTTTCCAGCTACATTTGCCTTTGGAGTAGCCCTTGAAGAGAAATATCATGTAGCATCGACAGAACACCCCCTGCGCAAAGATGCAGCATATTGTCTCACAAAGATCCCCCAAAGCCGTCTCCTGCCGGCTTGGACTGGATTTAACCAGCTACTCAGCAACGAACTCCCTCCAAAGGCTACAGTTGCATATCTACCAGTGATCGATGCAAGTCCGACAGACCTAAATACCGTGAATACAGTTCTTCATCAGAGTGTCGAAATCGCCAATAAGTTGGAACTACCATCGGTGGTGGTCGTAGTTGATCAAGCAATTTACGCCAAAGCACAAACCATCAGATGGCAGACTCCTCTCTTCATGGACCGAATTGTGATCCGCCTTGGTGCCTTCCACACCACTATGACAGCCATGTGATGCTGGGCTGCAAGACATACTCATAGAATCAGATGTTGTTGCACCAGGTTCCGTGAACGGAGTCATGAATGGCCACCAATACAACAGGAGTATCCGTTGTCACAAGGTCATGGCGGAGGCACTCCATCGCTTACGCTGGCAGAGTTTCATAGAGGACATGTCTGAGAAGGAAGCAAAACAGTATGGTGAAATGGTGCAAAACCTTCACACAACATTTCCGAGTCAAGAGTATGAAGATCTGGTTGAGGGCCCCACATTCCAGGCGATGATGATGGCTTATGATGAGTTCATCAAATCCAAAAGTAAAGATGTGACCTTTGCATTTTGGAGTTCGTATCTCCAAATGGTCCAAAGTGTTCTACTCTTCGTAAGGGCTACAAGAGATGGAGACTGGGCACTCCACCTCGCAGCTGTGCGAGCTCTTGTGCCATGGATGTTTGCATATGACAGGACAAACTACTCTCGTTATCTACCTGTTTACTGGCTGGAAATGAAGAACCTGGAGAAAACACATCCGATTGTTCTCAACGAATTCCAGATTGGGAATTTTGCAGTTCAAAGGCAAGATGTCCATGGTTGCTCACGAGTTGCATGCGATATGACGATTGAACAGACAGCCAACAGAGATTCCAAAACAAGAGGCGGAATGAAAGGTTTCACCACCAACAAAGGGGCAAGCAATCGTTGGATAAGAGCACACCATGAAAGAGCTGCAATAACAAGACAATGTGAAGAAATGGCAGGGAAAGGGCAAAAGATTGCAACTCGTAAAGATCTAACTAAGACTGAGGCGTGTGGCCCGTGATGAGCAGGATGTACAAAACATCATGACTACCATATCTAGTATGATCAACCCCTTTGACAATGATCCAGAAACTGATCCCAATGATGTGATCCATTTGTCTTCTGGCGTCATTGCTTCACCTGAGGTTTGTGCTGATATGATAGAAGCTCATGAAAAGGGAAACACTGCATTTGTGACCTTTTGCATAGACCGTCTACAAGGAGGCGAAACTGACTTGAACAAACCACTGAAAAGGATGAAGCTGAAGACATTCACATCTATGGCTAAAACTGTAACGGCAAAAGTAAAAGGGAAAGATGTAATCAGTAAGAGTGACAGAGAGCTACTGGCTAGACTCGTCATCATTGGCAGAAGTCGCAACATTGATTTGAAGACATGTTGTTGTACTGCTTAGCCCCACTGCCACTGTTGTTATCTACACATGAAGGATGTCTAGTCAAGACTAACAAAGCCAAGTTGTTGCACTTCCTGGAATCCGCACCAAAGGAAACACCCATTGTGTCAGGGAAACCAGGAAGTGTGTGGATCATTGACGGATTGGCAATGCTTCAACAAATGAGCCCCAAACACATGCCAGTGAGCATGGGCGAACTTGCTGAGAAGCTTCTTAGTCAGTTGGTGAACTTGGCGTGCAAACATAAATCCAACAGTGTCCACTTCGTCACAGACAGATACCCCAAGATCAGCATCAAAAATGCAGAAAGGAAACGCAGGGCAGCCACTGGGTCCCAAAAGATCAAGATTTCAAAGCCTTCACAGCCAATTCCGAAGCAGTGGAAAAAGTATCTTGCAAACGGCTTCAACAAAGAGCAGTTGGTAGAGTTCCTCTTCAGCACTTGGAGTAACTGCGATGTAACAAGCTTGAAAGGGGTAGCACTAGTTGTAGCCCATGGCGAACTCTGCCATTCTATCTCACCCAACAATGGAAGTGTACATGTAAAAGAGGTCACTGAGCTACACTGTTCACACAAAGAAGCTGATACTCGAATGTTTTTGTATGCCAGCTACATTGCCAAGTCCTCCGACAGCGACATAGTCATCAAGAGTCCAGACACCGATGTTTATAATTGGTGTTGCCCTATCCTCAAATCATATCAGTTCCAACATATATTTCCATACCGGTAAAGATGAAAATGTCCGCACCATCAATCTACAAGCTATAAGGAAGCACCTTGGAGATCCTCTCTCTGATGCACTCATTGGTCTCCATTGCTTCACTGGCTGTGATTCTGTCAGCGCCTTTTACAGCAAGGGGAAGATGAGAGCCATTAAACTGCTGGTGGAAAACCCAACATCATGTACTCCATTTCAATCCCTCGGAGAGTCTTTCATGGTGTCAGAAGATATGGTAACTGCACTAGAAGTATTTGTGTGCAAGCTGTACGCTCAGCATGATTACAGCCACGTCAACGAAGCAAGGTATGCTATGTTTTCCATGGCTACCAAGGCGGAAAATGTCATGCCACCTAATCGGGATGCCTTGCATAAACACACCAAGCGAGCGAACTTCCAAGCAGCCACCTATAAGCGCAGCCTTGTACAACACCCCGACATTCCCTGTCCTGTCGGACATGGGTGGAAGATGGTAGATGATGACCTTGGCATAGACTGGATGGATATGGACTCGGCTCAACAAAGTGTCCTCGAACTTGCCAACTGTGCATGCAGCAAATCGAAGTGCAAAGTCAGTGAAGCAGGCAACAAATGTTGTGTGTCATTAGGTATTTCCTGCACAGAACTATGCTCATGCAAGAACTGTGACAACTTAAGTCTACCATTCGATGATGAAGGCATTGAAGAAAATGAAGGAGAAGATGACAATGAAGAAGATGGGGATGATGAGAGTGAAGAGAACTTTGAGACTGAACAATCTTCCAAGTAGCATTGTCTTAGTGGGTGCGATTTGCCTGGCGCAGCTTTTCAAGACAAAAAGGTTAATTGCGGTCATGTCCGGGTGCTTTGAATGGCATTTTTTTTTTCAAGCAGCTTTTGAATGCCAGCAGTATGTATTCAGGTCTGCGATTTGAGGTAAGTATTTCTCCTTTTAATTGAAGGAAGGCATCTAATTTCTCCTGTGTAAACACCGACTTATACTGTAACTTGTAATGGTTTCACAAAGCCACCTTCAGTTAAAATTGCCCAAAATTATATCACCCAATTGTTTAGTGATAAACACACTTTAGATTTAATGAGGCTCATTTTTGGTGCAGTATCTGTCGTGACACCAACATTCTTAGGTCCGGACATTCATTATGATCCTACCTCTTGAGTCTTTAATAGCTAATTCACTTAAATGCATTGAACATAATGTCATTCAGCATATCTTAGAAGAATTCAGACCAGAACATGATACATTTTTGTAAATTGTAATGTAAATTAATTTTCAATCCACTGTATAACTGGTGTACATACTTGCATCGTTGAGGATATTTCAGACACATACATTTTTCTATTTACTCTGGTGTACATACTTGCATCGTTGAGGATATTTCAGACACATCGTATTAATTACAAACCTGGTTATGTACTTTATTTGTTGAGGCTATCTCGGCATATTGTATTAATTTCCAAACTGTTTACTCTTTGTTATTCAACGGAAAAAAGTGATTGTCAACAAAGATACATGCAGCACAGAAAATCAAGAAGCTGTCATGGTAAAAAAAAAATTGTTGTCTTTGTCTTACTATCATTTGTTTATACTTTATCTTTGACGTCAACACACAGTAAATTTCCCTTTGCTTTCCTACGGTTCCTGGATTCCTGCATCGAAATATTTCTACACATCCAATTTTTTTTATTTTACATATAAACCAACATGACCATGGGCATCACCAGGTTTTTCTAGAGAGGGGCAAAACATATTTTTTCAAAAAAATTCCTGTATTTCTCAACATATTCTCGATTTATCAGTTTAGAGGGGGAAAGGGGACATTTTGGCCCCCAACACAGTAAATTTACACCAATATGACTTAACGCCTCTTTTTTGTTCTTTTTTTCCGCTTTTTATTTACCACTTAGTACACCTTTGCAAATCCACCTCCATGTTGTTTGTGTACTCGAGCCTAATATAGGACAGTCGGAAAAATAAAAAGTAGGGGAGATATGTGCAAATAAAGGGGATGATAATGCCTCTATAACACATTTCCAAGAAGTCAACCAAACTTGTCGCATATTAAAATCTGCTTAATATATTAGAATGGCATAAAAACCCTTTGAAAATAAACATCTGTGCTAACTATAATAACATTGGAGGCACAGTGCGCTGAGCTCACTATTATATTTTTACATTTTGGTCAAGAGAGGGCGCTGTTTTCTTATGTTTTTCTTTAAGGTGAACAATGAGATTTTTTTTCGTGTATAGCACATTACTGTGCAAATTTTGAGCATGGGATCAAGTCGATCCTAGATTATACACATACTATCTACCATTTTTTGGTTATTTACTACCCTGCAGCTCAAGATGATCTCCAAAGCATCCTCTTCACCGACGCACTTGTGACGACATCCGATACAGGAAAGGAGCTTGGTGAGTTCTCGGTCAGCATCGAGCTCGCAAGACACAGTGGCCAAGATTGTTTGCTAATTCATGCCAACAGCCACGGGGCACTCGACAATGTGCCAATGGGAACCTCAGTCACTGGTAAGAGTTTTCTGTGTAGGTGTCAGCTCTTTTTCATGTTTTTTGGCAAAAAGTGGGGGAAGAGAGGGAATTTTGTGATTATTTTGTCTTGCAGGGATCGAGCCATTAGTTGGCTTTTCCGCAAAGTTGCAGAAAAGCCTTTCGTTTTGTTCTCATTTTTTTTTTGGTGGCTTTTCCGCATATTTGCAGAAAAGCCTTTCTTTTGTTCTGATTTGGTGGGTTTTTTTTTGGCTTTTTCGCAATTCTTGCAAAAAAGCCTTTCTTTTTGTTCTGATTTTTGGCTTTTTCACAACTTTTGCGAAAAAGCCTTTCTTTTTGTTCTGATTTTTAGCTGTTTCGGTGTACACGCCGAAACAGCTCTTGTTTTTGTTACTTTTTTTTTCTCATTTTTTCTTTTTCCTCTTTTTTTCCCATAGGATAACACGTGTTTTCGTTCTACAAGTCACTTTTGGACTTTTTTCAAATCCGATCGACTTCAAACCTGGCACACACTTAGACCACCATCTGAAGATGTATGCCGCAACTTTTTGTCATTATGACGTCATCACGTGTCACGTGACGTCATCCTAAAAGAGCATACTTTAAGGCCCTATATCTACAGAACTGGAAGTCCGATTTGGTTCAAACTTGGTATGCAAGTATTCCGGGACGTGTTATAGACGAAAATTGCAGTGACGTCATGATGATGTCATCGTGTGATTTTATATAAATTATTCAATTTTATGACCTTTTACTCATATCTCATAAACGGAATGTGGTAAATTCGAAATTCTTTTTGTAACAGGTTTGTTAGGTCATAGATAGATGCACAAAATTTCGTAAAATGTGTGACGTCATCATGACGTCATCAAAAACGTGATTTTTTTTTATTCACATATAAGGGTATGTCCGATCGTTATGAAACTTGGTGGGTAGTTAGGTATAGATAACAGCATTCCAAATCTGAAGTGACGTCATCATGACGTCATCATCTGATTTTTTATGAATTTTTCAAATTTTAATATTTTCTTCAAATTTTGCAAAAATTATATAAAATACGGTCCAATCGACTTCAAACCTGGCACACACTTAAACAACCATCTGAAGATGTATGCTGAGTCATGACGTCATCATGACGTCATCACGTGTTACATGACGTCATCCTAAAAGTGCATACTTAAAAAGGCCCTATATCTACAGAACCGGAAGTCCAATTGGGTTCAAACTTGGTTTGCAAGTATTCCGGGACAAGTTGTAGACAAAAATTGCAGTGACGTCACGATGACGTCATCATGTGAGTTTATATAAATTATGCAATTTTTGGACCTTTTACTCAAATCTCATGAATGGAGCATGGTAAATTTAAAATTCTTTTTGTAACATGTTTGTCAAGTGAAAGACAGATGCACAAAATTTCATAAAATGTGTGACGTCATCATGACATCATCAAAAACGTGATTTTGTGATTCACATATAAGGGTATGTCCGATCGTTATGAAACTTGGTGAGTAGGTAGGTATAGATAAAAGCCAACCTCGTCCCCAGGGTGTCGAGCAGTATGCGCCCACCACTACCTGCTCTCTCACCCTGGTATTGGATCATTTGCATGTGCAAGATTTTTGCACACGTATGCAAATGAGGAACAGTCTGGTGCCTGGATATGCGTTACACATTAGCGTTTGTTTTTGTATGCGGTGTCTGGGGTAAAAACAGAGTCAATTCGTAGCAGCGCGAGCACGGCGTGAGTTACGAAAACACGATTTTTGAAATCAAACTGTTACGATCTTATCGAGACAACATGCAGTATCATATTTCATATTAATACGAGCAAATTGGTATTTTCGAGAAGGCGTGGACGAATGATCGCGAAAACGCGTACTGCACGTTGTGAATATATAGCACCAAGTACATGATAAAAATCCATTACTAGCCAATTGCGGTATCCAATCAGGATACAGGAAGAAAGTTTCCTATCCAGGGTTTACTATTGGAAACGTGGTTGGAAACAAAGTAAGCATTGGGGACGAGGTTGGATAAAAGCATGCAAAATCTGAATTGATGCATCATGACGTCATCGCCTGAGTTTTTATGAATTTTTCAAATTTTAATATTTTCTTCAAATTTTGCAAAAATTATATAAAATACAGTCCGATCCACCTCAGAGAACCTGATGTCCGATTGGGTTCAATGTCGGTATGCAGATATTCCAGCTTGCAGTGACGTCACGATGATGTCATCATGTGATTTTATATGAATTATTCAATTGTTTGACCTTTTACTCATATCTCATCAATGGAACGAGGTTAATTCAAATTCTTTTTTGCGAAAGGTTTGTTAGGTCATAGATAGATACAGAAAATTTCAAAAAATGTGTGCCGTCATCATGACGTCATGAAAAAGTTTTTTTTTAACATAGGATGGACACTTTTTGTATAAAATACGCATTTACATGTTCATTCGACCTGGATGAAACTCCTTTACGACAGTCATTAATAAAATGGTCGAAACAGCCCAGTGTTTGTCCACAAACACATTTCTAGGTTTTCTTTCTTCCTCTTCTTCCACTTCTTTTTTGCACAAAATCCCATAGACTTTGTAAACGTTTTTTCTACATGCCACTTTTGGCCTTAAAACAATTCCGAATTCCTTCAAACCTAGCACATACTTAGAACATCACCTGCAGATGTATGCCGAATCATTACGTCATGCTGACATCATCATGCGATTTATTATAGAATTTTGAATATTTAATTTTTCCATAGACTTTGTACACAGAAATTTAAACAAAATTGTTGATTTTCACAGGGCATTTTCGACTCTTTGCCAGTAATTCATTTACACCAATCTTTGTCCAAGCAAAGACCCTAATTCAAACAACTTTGTGTAATGATGACGTCATGATGATGTCATCCAGTGTTTATTTATAGGCAATTGAATTGTGACACTTTTAATTTTAAAAAATGCATAAGAAATCAACCGTATGCATCCGCAGCATTCTGTTGCCGGCAAGTGGTATAGTAGGTTGAGGTCTTTATTTCATTCAGTGTGCGTGCAATCACGTGACGCTTAAAACTTCAGGTTGACAATACCTCTGCTTTAAAACATGCACAGGACGTCCACAATGTGTACATGTACATGCAAGTACGTAGTACATCTCGTATGTCAGTCAGCTCGCGGCGCACATGTTGCTGAGGTCAAATCCTGTCCACAGTGACCGTTTTAGCCGATTTTCGGCTAACTTTGACAGATTTTATGTTCATGCATAGTCAGGGACGTATTATTGATCAAATAAATCATAATGCGGAAAAGCCCTATGTTCTGTTGCAAACAGACATAGATCTCTAGTTTTCTTTCTTCTTCTTTTTGTCGCCTAAATCCCTTAGACTTTGTACACGATTTTTCTCAGTGCCACTTTTGTTATTAATCTTTGTCATACATCATTCAAATTAAGCGTAGTCATAGTTCTTATAGCAGAGATGTGCCCCGAAGAGTGACGTCATGGTGACGTCATCGACTAATTTATTATAGATTTGTTAATATTAAATTTTTCCCATAGACTTTGTACACAAAAATGAAGAAAAAATTGTCGATTTTCAAAGGGCATTTTCGACTCTTTGCCAGTAATTCATTTACACCAATCTTTGTCCAAGCAAAGACCCTAATTCAAACAACTTTGTGTAATGATGACGTCATGATGACGTCATCCAGTGTTTATTTATAGGCAATTGAATTGTGACAAAATTGTTTTAAAAATGCATAAGAAATCAACCGTACGCGTCCGCAGCATTCTGTTGCCGGCAAGTGATAGAGTAGGTTGACGTCTTTATTTCATTCAGTGTGCGTGAAATCACGTGACCCTCGCTTCCGGTCGAAAAAGGCCAAAACCGGAAGTGGCCTGTTATTGAAAAGTGGTAATAGATATGAACTTGCTTTCAACGGTGTTAGCCTCTTGGCTGATAGTATTCTTGAAATCATTTACCGATGACGTCATGCAATCTTCGAGCGCCCTCTAGCGACAGGTTTAAAATGTTCAAAAATGTATTTTGAATAGATGTCTGTGGCGAAGTTTGTCGGAATCGCCTAAATATTGGTGTATATGATGACCTTGACCCACTTAAGACGAAGTTTTAGGCGTATGACGTCATCAGACCGGAAGTTCCGTTGAAAAGACCTTTCCTTTTTCAAAAATTGCTAACAAATCAATCCGTACAGATATAATCTTGAATTGCCCATTAAATGATAGCGTAAACATTGGCCTCAACAGAATAATCCAGGACTTTCATTTTATCTCGTGTGAGCAAAATCACGTGACCCTTCCTTCCGGTCTAAACCGGAAGTAACCCAAATTGCCTTATAATTTAATATTGGAAAAAGATGTGAACTTGCTTGCAACGATGTAAGTCTGTGGCTAGAAAAAACTTCATGAAAAAAACGCCGGTGACGTCTTAACATGTTAGAGCGCCCTCTACGGGTAGGTTGAAAAAAGTGTAAAAATGAATTTTTAGTCGATGTCTGTGACGAAGTTTGCGGTAATCGCTTCAAAATTGGTGTATATGATGACCTCAATGTAGGCAACACCTGTGCACAAAAAAAATTATGATGTCATCATACCGGAAGTTAAAAACAAAAGACCTGTTTTCCTTCAAAAATTCCTGGAAAATCAACCATGACAGTTTTTGTATTAATTTTTACTTTATCTGTCGATTTCAGGTAGGTCTAAAACATTTCAAAGTTTCGAGGCAATAAGCGAACTTGCACATGCCGTGCGCACGCTTACAACTTCAGGTTGACAATACCTCTGCTTTAAAACATTCACAGGACGTCCACAATGTACATGTACATGCACGTACATTGTACATATGCACATACATCGTATGTCAGTCAGCCCGCCTGCAGCGCACGTGTTGCTGAGGTCAAATCCCGACCTTTATCTGCAGGGCTTCGTCACGAATCGGCCGGAGTGTTCGACAGCTCTGTTTATATGAACTACACATTTACAAAAGAAGTAGCAGTTCTTGAAG